AAAGGTCAACCACCACCACCCCAGGACACAAAGGTCAACCACCACCACCCCAGGACACAAAGGTCAACCACCACCCCAGGACACAAAGGTCAACCACCACCCCAGGACACAAAGGTCAACCACCACCCCAGGACATAAAGGTCAACCGCCACCACCCCAGGACACAAAGGTCAACCACCACCACCCCAGGACACAAAGGTCAACCACCACCCCAGGACACAAAGGTCAACCACCACCCCAGGACACAAAGGTCAACCACCACCCCAGGACATAAAGGTCAACCACCACCACCCCAGGACACAAAGGTCAACCACCACCGCCCCCAGGACACAAAGGTCAACCACCACCCTAGGACACAAAGGTCAACCACCACCCCAGGACACAAAGGTCAACCACCCCCCCAGGACACAAAGGTCAACCACTGACATTCTATACACCGTCAACAACTGCTCTCTTCTCTCCAGTGACCTTTCCTGCTGTAATCTATAATGAATAAACTTGGGCGATGAATAAAGCTGGGAAGAACATGAATGAGAACTGAAGCTTGGGAGAACAGGAGTGAACATACAAGCTGGTCTGGGGAGAACATAGACCATCAACACGATAGAACACGAGTGATGAACACAACAGTATATTCCTGATGAACACAACAGTATATTCCTGATGAACACAACAGTATATGTCTGATAACACAACAGTAAATGCCTGATGAACACAACAGTAAATGCCTGATGAACACAACAGTAAATGCGTGATGAACACAACAGTAAATGCCTGATGAACACAACAGTATATGAGTGATGAACACAACAGTATATGCGTGATGAACACAACAGTATATTCCTGATGAACACAACAGTATATTCCTGATGAACACAACAGTATATGTCTGATAACACAACAGTAAATGCCTGATGAACACAACAGTAAATGCGTGATGAACACAACAGTAAATGCCTGATGAACACAACAGTATATGAGTGATGAACACAACAGTATATGCGTGATGAACACAACAGTATGTATCTGATGAACACAACAATACATGTCTGATGAACACAACAGTATGTGCCTGATGAACACAACAGTATATGAGTGATGAACACAACAGTATATGCGTGATGAACACAACAGTATGAGTGATGAACACAACAGTATATGCGTGATGAACACAACAGTATATGAGTGATGAACACAACAATACATGTCTGATGAACACAACAGTGTCTGATGAACACAACAGTATGTGCCTGATGAACACAACAGTATGTGCCTGATGAACACAACAGTATATGAGTGATGAACACAACAGTATATGCGTGATGAACACAACAGTATGTGTCTGATGAACACAACAGTATATGCCTGATGAACACAACAGTATATGTCTGATAACACAACAGTAAATGCGTGATGAACACAACAGTAAATGCGTGATGAACACAACAGTATATGCGTGATGAACACAACAGTATATGAGTGATGAACACAACTGTAAATGCGTGATGAACACAACAGTAAATGCGTGATGAACACAACAGAACATAACTCGCCTAATCCGTTTAAAAAGTTACGTAATAATCATATTAAAACACCAGGTTCCAATGTGAGCCAACTGCCCCCCCTCCCCCCCCCCCCTTGCAACTCCAAACTTCCGGCAACACCACAAACGATGCTTCAGCAATACAGCACTTCCCATGACACTGCGAATTCTCCTGTAATTTGCAACATGGCACATTCCTTGCAAATTTCCTGCAGGGTGTCGCCTGCAACAGACCGCTTGACCAGGCACGGCAACACTGCCCCCCCCCCCCACGCCAGTCTCTTGTTTACCACTCCGTTCAAAATGCAACGGTGTCGGGCTATCAACCATAAGGTCTATCAACCTCTGGAGGGTTGTTAAGGCTACCACAATACCTTGCTGACCAACCACCAAGTTTGTTCTGGTAGTGAACGTCTCTCTCTCTCTCTCTCTCTCTCTCTCTCTCTCTCTCTCTCTCTCTCTCTCTCTCTCTCTGTCTCTCTCTCTCTCAGGTGTACACAAGGATCAACAGGTAAAACTTGAGCATCACTTGACTATTGGGGGCGGCATGGGGCACCCACCAGGGGTCGTACTGGACACATCACCAGGTCTGAAGGTCGGGTAGTTGGGTCCTCAGCTAAACACCTCTAGAAACTCTCCTCAAACGATCAAATTACCTTGTTTGATTTTTTACTAATTCGTCTTATTTCTATCAGACTACTCAACTCCGTAAAAAATAGAACGATTTTGCCAGAAAAGTACAAACCCAAGCAACCCACCTAACCTATCGAGGCCGATGCAAAGAAAACGTCAATACTCCGGTGTTATAATTTTGATTAATGAGTTGCATTTTTAACGGAACAGTTGAGTCAGTACAAATACCAGGTAGTGGAAGGTCAGGTTGTGCTCTGTGGTAATGGGGAGTGAGGCTAGATGGCAGCCCCGGCCCCAGAGAGGCACAGGGTCACCCTGCAAGACCCAGCCAGGGAGAGGCTCTGGTGCCAGGCGTCTACACAGGTGCCAGGCGTCTACACAGG